AAAATATACAAGCCCTCTCATCGTATTTCCTATTTTTGACCGAAATGACAATGTAGCATTGATGATATGTAACAAAATAATAAGGTTAAATTCTACTCCCCAGACAAGATAGGGAGTGAAACAAGTGGAAAGCTGATTGAACTGATCCTCATCGCTTATAATGTGAAACCATGGCATTATAAAAGGTTTATTAATAACTAAACTGAGGAAATCAATATTAACTTCAAATACAAAGTGTCTCGACAAAAGGCCAGCTCATGTGTCTAATCGTGTTGCCTTGGAAAGTCACTTAAACATTGCTCCAAAATTGGAGAGGGTCAACGAATTCTACTTCCAAACGATTTGAACAGAAGCATTAGTTATGGCCATAGATGTCACACTTGTTTGTCATTTCTCATTTGTACATTTGGCAGTGCAAATATTAACAAACTAGAACCAAGTGAGATACGATTTAGTGTCAATCACAATCTTGAAATCATGCTGATTATGTTTAATAAATATTGTTTCGAACCTGTTTGATCAGTATTTTATTAACATATTCTGTTTCTAACTCACGTAATCAATAACGCTTAGTGAACTCTATATCATAATTTAACTTCATGAATTGGCATGAATTGAATTTCAACGATTAAATAATAAGCCTAACAGCGGGTTTGAAGTACTTGGTCTGGCGTTGCTCTGCGTATTAAGGCCTATTGTGTGAGTTTAGCAATAGTGTCACCAGAAAATGTTCCATTGTTTTAGATAGATACGATAGGAAGAGAGCCTTGATAAAGCAATGTATATTCATGCCTAAGAAGATACGGGCAGTATTTGGAACATGCAAAATACAACTAGATCCAAGCCACGAAACATAAGCAATGGTTAGTAAGTTGAAACTTGAGGAAAGGCTAGAAATGCAAATGAAGAGTCACTTCAAGTAGTCATGTCTAAGTCCGTTCGTAGCTGGCACTCCAGTACCAAATGAAAATATCGATCGAAAAGTGTTAAAGCGATGACTGAATAAAAATGACACCAATCAGTGTACGTGAAGTTGACGGCAAATAAAAGACCATTCCTGCAACATGTCAACCATTGTGCCTCCTATTTACACAGACGTAGTCACTACAGATGCAATTTATTAAACAAATAAAAACAAAAGAAAAAATTACATTTTTAAATATTAACTTAAATATTGAACAGTTTATTAAAAATTTTTTTACACATAATTGATAAAATCAAGTTAAACTGTTAAGATTCAAAGTTTCGTTATGTCGATGATCAAAATTTTGCCTATATTCCTCCAATTCGGCAATCGATTGGCTTAAACGTCGAATGAAATGATGGAGTATCTCATACTCCGCACCATTTTTAACGATGACCTTATTTAGGTAAAGGTTAAAGTAGATGAATTGTCTCCGAAGGAGCAGAGCCCTTGTACGAAGCCCATCAATCTGTTCAGTTATCTCCATGTACTCTGATGTTGTGAACCAAACTTCTGATCTTAAACTGGAGTCAAGTGCTTCCCAAGCTTGCTTAAGGTCATGCATAAGGGAATCGAAAAGCAGGACTAAAACTTCATTGTCGACAAATTCCATCTTGACAGGGTATAAATTCACCTGTTTGAGATTTAAAGAGTAAAGATGAGTATAACGTATAAGTAGAATAACAAAAAGGCATATAATTAATAGATAACTGGCAATGAATAAAAGAGTTCTAACTTGAAAGAACCAAGTTTAATTAATGCATTCCGACGCAAATGATCCTATTCAAATTCATGAGTTAAGTGCAGCTCATTGGTTTTGAATTTATGTTCATTTAAAATATTTAATAATTTTGAATAGTATTATTTACGTGTTATCAATTGGCCTCATTTGCTTAAGTTTAAAACCACGTTCCATTTTAAATTACTCTCAATTGCTAGAAGTAGCAGAAGAGTTGCGATTGATTCAACCTAATTTTATAATATGGAGGTTAGAATGTTACATTTTGGCAATCCTAGTCTCAATTGCATTCTATTTGTTACTCAACAGTTGTTTGGGACACGTCATCGAATGCTTGCACGCCAGGATTGGGAGGTTTGACCGTGCAAACCGTGACCAAACATAAACCTCTGTTAGTTTAACCTAATCCGCCATCCTGATCTTGATTAAGCTCCCTGTGTGTACACTTCATCCGCAATATCCATAATGAATAAACGTGCTTTGTGCTACACGTCTGCTTCCTTTCATAGCTGGGCTATAGCTTAGCTGGTTCTGGGAGTCTAGCTAAATGTAGGAGAATCTGCCATAGAGATTTCTGAGTCAGTCAAGAGGCTTTACTAAGGTAGCAATCCGCTACAGTTCAACTGCTGTGGTTCAATGCAACCAAATGAGCAGAAATTAGTGAATAATAAATTCGAAACATTAATTGTACAAAATAAATCTAATAATTAACTTGTGTTTAGAACGATGAATGGTATCGTGTCGATTTGGAGACAGTAAACATCAGAGCAGAAATATTTCAAAATCGGAATTACACCAAATAGTGACATCCCTCGATTACGCACTTAACATTCTCAATGACTAGTGTGAGACGCTTGAAATATCACATTTTTATTTGTTTAGATTGCAACCATAAAATATGGGCCAAGAGAATACTATGAATGACTATGGATGACATTCTTTCAGACACAAATGACACGAATTAAAGTAAACGAAGTCCAAAGCTCTTCCTTATGTGCATGCCTTGTACGAAATATTTATTTATCTCAAATGGCAGGCTTTATGATATTTATTATTAGCCCTTAATCTTTGACTTCAGCTTCCCCCAAGAGGGGGGGGGGGTACATTTATAGCAGTTAATTAATAGCAGTTCATTAGCAGTCTTCTTGCTTCCCAGTATTTTTGGCTTTCCGTCCTTGTCTTTAGAGCTGGACACCGAATCAGGTGGGTCTTCTCCATTTCCTCATGTAGGTTACATAGAGGGCATGTGGGTTGAGTGTATATTCCCAATCTGTGAAGGTGTTTTGCCAAGCAATCGTGTCCGGTACGTAGTCTAAACTCAGCAACGGCTTCGATTCTTGGCCAGTCGGGTATGTCGGAGAGTCCCACTGTCCACTGTTTCTCCTTTGTTCGAGCTTTGAGTTCGTTGAGCCTTGAGGTCTGGAATTCTCTCCTGATTAAGGCCTTCATTGTGTGGAAGGACATCGGCCGGTCCATGCATTTCAAAATCGTTGTCCCCTTCTTAGCAAGTGTGTCAGCAATCTCATTGCCTTTAATGCCACAGTGACCAGGAATCCATTGTAGGACCACTGTTTTGTTTTTCTCTTTCAGCAGCTCATAGAGTTTTCTACATTCCTTTATCTCAGCTGTTTTGGGTGTCTCTCTGTTTCCAATAGAGTCTATTGCTGACTGTGAGTCCGAAAGTATCACCGCTTTGGTGAATTTCGTATCCAGGCAACATAATTGGCACAGTGCTATCCTAATGGTTTCTATTTCTCCTTCAAAAGCGGATCTATTATGTCCCGCTGCTGCGTAGAAAGAGAAGAGTTCAGAATAGACACCTGCACCAACGTTTGCTTGGTTTTCTATGTATGACCCTTCAGTGAAGACTTGAAGCCATTGATCTGTAGGATAGTTGGCATTGATTGTCTCAAGGGCCAGTGAGCGCATTTGCTCGGGAGGAGTGTTTGATTTCCTGAAGAAGTCGAGCAGTTGGGTGCGACACACTACATCAATGTCTGCTAATGGGTTCATGGGGAGAGAGAGGCTTTTTGGTTTATCATCGATTTGTAACGCTTTCTTCAGTTCTATGGCCTTCTGTATTAGACCAGATTGCGTTTTCAGTTGTCTTGGTCTATTCTCATAGGTGCTGAAGAATTTGTCCATGGGAATGCGCAGTAGTTTCTCATACAGGATTAAGGCCTTCTCTTTGATAAGGGAGCCTATTGTGGTGTTTCCTGTAACTTGGAGCATTGCATCAATGGGTGTTGATTTTATCCCTCCAGTAATTAGTCGTAATGCTTGGTTGTGTGCCTTCTCGAGNGTTTTGCCTCGGGGAATAGTTTTCTTTGCACATCTGATCATAATATTCGTGATAGCAGTGCAAAGTTTGCCAGGATGTTGGTTGAAGTTGAGGGGACTTGTGTGAAGTTCATTCTCCAAAAGGTTTGTGAATCTAGGCCAGTCAGCCTTCTTGAAGTTCCATGATAGCTTAGTTGGCACTTTCCTTGACGTGCTTTTGCTGCCGAAGGTAATACTAGCAATGACTGGTTTGTGACCAGAACCAGGATCGTCAATTATTTTGCGGCGTGTATGCTCATTGATGTCGCTTGAAGTCAAGAGTAAATCAGGAGTTGTTCTGGATCCATTGTAGTGCAAATATGTAGCCGGATCCTCATTGCTATAAATAAGTTCCAGAATGTTGCTGTTTAGCATGTCTTCAATTTCCTTTCCAGCTATGTTTGTATCCCTGTAGCCCCATCTGGTGGAGTGGGCGTTGAAGTCTCCTAATACTATAGTTTTGTGTGAGATGTTCAGAAAGTCAAAGTTTGGACAATTCTGGGGAGGATTATAGACTGCATATATCTTGAATTGGCTTTGACATTTCCAAAAATTTAATCTGATTATTTCACATTTGTCTTGTGTCGAGCCCATACTCTTGATTAGGTCGTAGCGTGAGGTGGGGCCATCTTTTACTCCAGTTAGAATTCCACTTGCAACTTGCCGGTATTTAGGTAGATTGTACAGTGTGTAACCTGGGAATTGGTAGTACTTCAGTTTGTCATCCGAAATGTTAGCTTCCATAATTGTGAAAATGTCTACATCATAGGTTTGCAGGATTTTCTGTATTTGGATCTTTTTGTCCGGAGACATTCCTCCAGCATTCCACTGGAGGATCTGAAGACGTTGTGATTCGCCCTGACGAGGGCGGTTTTTCTTATAGCCTTTTTTAAAGCTAACCATAATTAATCGAAGTCAAAAACGAATGCCGATTGATAGACTTTTTTGCCGTAAGAAAATACGTTGTCCAGGGTACACCACGAGGAGGTAAGTCTATCGCGCACCCCTTGTACGAAATATTAACAATGCTACATATATGCATTGGAGTAATTGTATGCATTGACATAAACTTATACCGGGATATTGATGAAGGAATAACCATGTACAGCCATATTTGATAATAACAAGTAAAGTCTATTTGATCTTAAAATGGAGAATTATTTAAAATAAAGTAGTTATCATTAAACGGAATTATCCAGAGTTGGCAAGAAAATCAATTTATGGCCTAGAAATTTTATAATCGATTAAATAAATTGAGAAGAATTAATAATTATGCCAACATTTTGTGACTGAAGCTCAATACCTCTATGAAGCGAATAGAACAAAAGAGAAACTAGTAAATATCATGAAGCCTAGTATTTTGATGTGCTAGATCTCGTGAATTCGTGCTCAATCATTAGGTGTTGGAAGGGTGTGCTCAAGGCTCCGGCAATGCAAACACGTCTCGAGGACTATGTGAGAAATATCGAATGGCTTGATGCCAAGCTATTTCGACTATTTCGACCTGCCAATGAGTTAGATCTTTGTCTGGATAAACGGCTCGCCATTCGCTACCACGCCGATGAGGAGAAGAAGGTAAGGCTATCACGATCTCAATCTGATGAACTCCCAAAGACCACCACCACAACCACCGCCGCCGCCTCCAAAAGTCTTATTTATTTGCGAGAATTAAATAAGGATAGTGTTAGTAGATTGCATGTTCAATGGGAGCATAAAATGATGAGTAAAATCATGGAGCGCAGTGGTTTTACAGTCACCAAATCTCACGCAGTGGATTCACTGGTGATTATTATATTTGTTCCTGTTGTGAAGATGGAGTGCCTGGAATTTGTGTCAAATCTAGTGAAGCCAAGGCACACTCTTCTAATTAACCATGTTACTGAGCCCTCAAGGCACAGTGGCATGTCGAATGGGGAGTGGATAAGGTAGTCAGTGGGCACATGGTACAGTTACCTTATTAAGCTTCCATCGAGGAGGTGGTGGGCTTAGTGTATAGAGAAGAAGAGAGGTCAGTATAGTTTGCTCATCTTCTCACAGTTCCTAAGCCCGCCTTCACCACATACTAGAAGGACGTTTATCAAGAGCCACCACTTCTCCATCCACTTACCTGTGTTCAATTTTTAGTTTTGTTTCTTGTACATGAAATAAAATTCATTCATTCATTAAGTTTTAAGGTAAAAGGGTGGCACTCCATGAGGTATGGGCAATGAGCCACGGTTCTGACGGTTCTGTTATATTCATTTGTGCTTTACTCTGCCACCTTATCACATTAGAAGTAAAGTGCTTACTGCTCCCTTTTTTCTGCTCCAAATATGCCTCCTCGCTGTTCTTATTTTGAGTACTTTGCCCCCAATATACAGTTCCTTGGAATGTGCACAAGGTAGTTAGTGGCTCAAGCTGAGTATGTGGCGAAGAAAGGAATGCCCATAATAGGCATAGACCCGCATTTATGACTGTGTCAAATGAGAACTTGAGTCCTTGATTCAAATGTGCTGGAAAATTGAGACATTAACTCTGAGCAACTATTTACCTGAGATAGCAAAATGCACACATTCCAAATCTGCGTCTATTCCATGGAGCGAAGGTGTCTTTTTCTTCCAACACTCTTAGACGATCACGACTGCCTTCAACAGTCAGGTTGACTTCAGTCAAAATTTTGAGATGTCTTTCACTATCGAGAAGAAAGGAGAAAACTTGGATCTTTGCGTCGCCTCCCAAGTCTTCATATTGCGGCACTGTTTCTATCAACTCAATTTTCCTGCAAATTTGACTCCACTAAAATCTAAATAAAAGTTTGAGAGGTATTTAAATGGTTAAAGAAGAGTGACAGGAACTCAAGGTACTTTATTATTTCCCTTTGGAAAGTAATCAAGGTACTTAGAGTGTAGCGAGCATGTACACGTGCAAGACACGGATGCTGTCAACCGCAGTTCCGACGTAGATAACTCAATTCGTTTGGTTTCATGCCTCTTGGGGCAGTCAGCGCTTCATTAATTCTCATTTCGGTCCTCTTAATCAGTGGAATTTACTACATTCTTCACAGAAAGAGGATCAAATTGTGATTTCCTTTGAAGCAACCCACCACGAGACGTGAAGTCAAAATTGTACTCTCTAAACCACTATTTCCTATGCTACTCTCGAATCATGGCAAATGCTCACAATACCTTTAAAGATTTAGTGTTAGTCACCTCTCTCCATGCATAGGGGCCGTTGATTCGACGTTGCCTTGGTCCGTTGTTGGGCACTGCGAACTTTCTTCACGAAATGTTTTCTCACTCCACATACTACCGTCTACTAGTGTGATGCTATTAAAATGAAATCAATCACTCATCTGCAATGCTTTTATACACGAAATTACGAGTATGCGAAGTGAGGTCATCAGTATTGTGGGACACGTCATCGCATGCCTGCACGCCAGGATTGGGAGGTGCGACCGTACAAACAGTGACCAATCATTAACCTCTGTTTGTTTAACCTAATCCGCCATCCTGATCATGATTAAGCTTCCTGCGTGTACACTTTATCCACAACATACTTACTGAATAAACGTGCTCCGTGCTACGCGTCTGTTTCCTTTCATAGCTGGGCTATAGCTTAGCTGGTCCTGGGAGTCTAGCTAGATGTAGGAGAATCTGCCACAGAGATTTCTGAGTCAGTCAGGCTTTACTAAGGTAGCAATCCGCTAGATATTTAATTTGATTGGATATTACTGGTATTGCCATAAATAATGGCTCAATTTCCGATGCGCACATTATGAAATGAGTTCGTTTTAAGGTCAATCACATCTGCAATAATTGTAAATTTGATGTCATTAGAATAACTAAAATATCGCGTCTTAGCAACAATCGTTCTGAGTTCAGGAAAGGGAAAACTTTGTAAGACTTTAGTGGATCACAAGTATTAAGTTGAAGGGGAACCAGATAACATGACTGCAGTTGACACTTGGTAAAGTATTCATATGTATAATTTGCAGTACATTTAAGTGAATTATTCAGTTTTCGGTCGACTTTCTCATCCCATTGCTTTATTCTCCATAGATTTTTCGACAAAACTTCCACTTCCAGTCATTTATAAGTTCATTTACTCTTAAATTTGTTGTACTTTCAAATACAGATCCTCACATATACCCATTGGAGAAATCAGCTGTAGAAGTCACATTCTCGTCTTCAGAGGCTTCCAGAAATTTTCATTCCACCTTGTAAACTTCTTCTATCTGGCTTTTGTCTTAGACGTTCTGACCCACGTGTGTCTTTCTTCTTACTGAGCTGCGTCAGCAGATTGTTTGGCTATATCACATTTTTGTAGAACAAATAATATTGATGAGATTTGCATGGGAGAAAAAAGACACAATGCCAAGTAATACAAAGCCATCGTTTTGTCAGAGGCTATAGAAATTATGGAGGGAAGGAAAGAAGTAAGGAAGTAAGGAGGGAAGAAGCAATGTTGAGATCTGTTTCACAATGAATTCAATGAATGTAACTGTGTTCGCCAGATTTCAGCAGGTTCATGTTAGAATCGAATTGGATAACAGCAGTTGTTGCGCAATCGTTATAAAGATGCTCTTGTGGCATTTCATAACTGTTCGGTGTCCAATTCTGAGGAATCGATTTACTGTGTATGACGGAATTCTTAAGTTATTCATGCTGTTCCCTGACTGGAATATTGTGCAAAATTTGCCAACTCAGTTTCAAATTTCAAATTGATTTATCTGAGTAATAGAAATGTTAATCTATTTACTTTTGAGCACTTGAAGTCCAATCCCATGAGGAAATATTGCTGGAACGTGAGATTCCTTGGTTTAGAAGACAGTGCAAAGTCACCATATTCGACTGAGGCAGATTAATGAGTGCGCAGTAAAGGAAAAGGGTGATAGTAGCAAATGAGGAATGTGGTGAAAAGTTATATGATATACAGAGGGTGGATAGTCCTCGCACACTCGGTTTTGGTGTTTGAGTTATTTACCTCATTGACTGTCACATTAGAACCTTGCTGACTAAGATCTTGTCTAAAATGAAGTGCAGTTGGCTCCACCTATTCGGAGAGTGCAAGATATATTTTTGATAGGCATCACTTTCATTGCTTTGCGAATCCAATGATATCGGAATCGCTGAAATCAAGAAAGCATACATTCTCTGCACTTCAAATGGTAATTTGCACAACTCAAGCATATATGAGAGGCAACTTTGCATACATTTCTCCACTCAACCCCACACCGGTACTTTGCCGTCCGATACACGGTCTTTCTATCCTCCATATTTATGTTCTAGGTGTGTGCGATAGACCGACCTCCACGTGGTGCACCTGGGCAAAGTATACTCATACGGCAATAAAGCCTATTAAATGGCAGTTGACTTCCCACTTCAAAATATCATCACTCTACTGTATTTCATATTCGACTCCTTCCACAGTACTCA